AACCCTAGCTTCCATGGCTGTGTAGGCCACTGGCCATCCTCCTTCTGAGGTTGGTCAGTCGTCTCTCAATTCTATACAACCCTCTCAAACATCTATAAACCCTAGTTCAATCCAACAGTACGCAAATCTACTAAAACCACAAGCATTAAATGCCTCCATGTAGAACCCTAACGTGCAACTCAAACCTGTGGAGTATTTACATGGCGAGCCTCTTGTTCGATGAAAGAAGAGTGAAGTAAAACTATCTATCATGCAACAAGGATTACAACTGGTAGTGTTGGGAAAATTTTCTTAAGGAAAACTTATAATTCATGAACCAAGGAAAGTTATTCCTATTCAGTGTGAGATTAAAGGTCCATGTTCGATTGGGTTGATTAAAGATACATATGTTCTTATCAAACTATCTCTTATGGAAGATTACATTCATCTATTGTCCAAGCCAGTATTTTATTTGAAAGCACAAGGAGATTTCTGCCAGATGAGATGCACCAAGTGGAGTCCATGGTGGAAGCCATATGAGGAAACACCTATTGTTATTGCGTGGATATCTTTTCTGGATCTCTCTCCAAATATTTTTGATAAGGACTTTGTATTCTCGTTAGCTAATGTTGTAGGCAGGCCTCTTCATGTTGATTTGGCCACTCAAAATGGCACAAGACCTAGTTGTGTTAAGGTCAAAGTTGAAGTAAGCTTATTAGCTACATTGCCTTAAAGGATTAAAATTATAGAAGAAGAAGATGAAACTGGCCCTGAAGAATCGAAATGGATTAAAATCAAATATGATTACATGCCTAAGTACTGTAAGACATGTAAGAAGCAAGGGAATAATGAAAAGGAATGTTGGATTATTCATCCAGAGTTACATAAGAAGTTCAACGAAGAGGGTGAGGATCACAAATAAGGAGAAGGCTGTTGTGATGCAAGGTGAGGTGATTGGAACTGCGGCAACTTCAACAAAGGTATTGGCAAGTGGAAAAGTGCTGGGCAAACCTGTACCAAGTGTTACCAAGAATGAATGGATGCAAATGAGGAAGAACAAATATCAACAAGACAGTAGAGGATACATAATCGATAATGAGGAGGTTGTGTCTATTGAGCCAACATATGATCAAAAGGAGTCAAAAGGAAAGGGGACAACTAGTAATGTTATTGGTACTGAGAAATAAGAGAAGAATGATCCAGTAAAACTAAGTAATTAATTTTCTTTGTTAGAAGAAGGTGAAATCGAGATGCAAAAGCAAATTAAAAAGGAAGCTGTGAAAATGTATTAAATAAGGAGAAGAATGAGGCAAAGAAGGCAAATCCTAGTTCTATTGGGAAAACTTCTCCGGAAAAGAATAAAGTGCAAATTGTGAAAAAGGTTGCTCCTAATCCTACTGTTACTGGGATTGAGGAGTATAATAACAAAGGAATCTACAATTGAATGGGTACATAGGAGATTTGGCACGAGTAAGGAGGAATTAAGAGAGATGAATGTTGTTAATCATTCATGCCATGAAATTCCATCGCAAACTTATGAAGATTCCAAGGAGAATAGGGCAAGCATGGAGGTCAGCTCTGAAAGACAGCTATGGAGTGATGAGGTCTAGATTATGGAGGAGGACAATACCACAACATTTAGTACCAGAATCAAGGAAGAAAGACACAAGAAGTTTGAAAAAGTGGTAGCAAATGTGAGCCTTATCTCTACAGTAAACCCTAGAATATCAAAAACTAGGGTTGAGTATGGGTAAGGGGTTAGTTAACCAATAGCTAATCTAATGCTTGGAGTAGTACAAGGCACATATAAGGAGGTTACTTACACAGGTGGATCAGTTGGTGAAGCTTCAGCTAAGAAATAAGCTAATGGAACAGAAAACCCTAGGGGTACTGTCCAGTTTTTGGCTAAGGAGGGAAGTGATCCAGTGGAGTTTTGAGCTAATCAACAAGTTGGGAATGATCATGTTGACCTAATAGTTGATACAATGAGATTACCAAATCAAACAGTTGCAATTAACATGCCTAAAGGCAATGGAACAGTAATTTCTGGGTGTCAATCTACAGGAAACCCTAGCTTGGGTGATGTGTATTCTCTACAATTCAAGGCAATCTAGGAGGCTATGAAGGCTAAGAAATTGAATGATGGGGTATTGAAGGAGGCTACAAATAGGGCTAATGATCAAATTGCTTTTGTTCCTAAGATGGAATCTGGGCAAAGCAACAATATTGTGCAAATAACTGCTCCAGTTGTTGATGATCCTGGACTCTTAGCTGGGCATACTTTAAGTGTTACAAGTAGAATTTTGGCTAAAAGAATCCTAATCAATAATAGGGGTCAAAAGGAGTTGGGAATGATAGCCAAAAATCATGAACCAAATCCTTTAGACCTACAGGAGGTTGATGATGAACAAGATGAAGAGGAAGACTTGGGGAAGACATAGAGGAGGAATCTACAACTGCTAACTTTAAACAGGCAGCAAGAGATGGTGATATATCTCCCAAGAGTGTGGACAAGAAGAAATCAGCTGGGAAACCTACAAGGAGATAAAAGAAAGACATTAAAGACAGTGTACCTTTAAGGGTGCAACCAAAGAGGAGTATGATCTCTAATTCCAAATAATCTTATGGATAATGCTTTAGTTTGGAATGTGAGGTCGATAAACACACAAAGCTTTCAATAGGTTGCTTAACCTACATAAAAAGTATAATTTTTAATTGATAGGATTGATGGAACCTTGGTAAGACATCAATAAGCTGGAGAAATATAGAAGGAAGCTGGGGATTCATTATGTTTATGCTAATGTGAATGGCAAGATATGGGCATTCGTTGATGAAGATATTGATGTTGACATTGTGAAGAATATGGAATAACAAATGACATTGAAGCTGTTTCATAGGAATCTGAATAAGGAGTTATATGTGACACTAGTTTATGCCAAATGTGATGCTATAGAAAGAATTGATCTTTGGGATTCAATGTATCACTTAGCATCAGATATGGAATCTTCTTGGCTTATTGGAGGAGATTTCAATGTGATTCTATCTGAGGAAGAGAAATATAGGGGTCGTCCTGTGTACCTGAGAAAAGTTGAAGACTTTGCACATTGTGTGGACACATGTGCATTATATGATCTTGGCTTCAAAGGGAGCCTGTATACTTGGTGGAATGAGAGGTCTGACATTGATTGCATCTTTAAGAGGCTTGATAGGTTCTTTGAAAATCAATAGTTCTTAGATTTATTCCCGGCATTGGAGGTTGAACACTTGATCAAGTATGGTTCTGACCATGCCCCTCTCCTGTTGTCCTGCAACATTGACACTGTCCAAGTTAAGAAACCATTTAAGTTTTTAAACTTATGGACTAAGCATGAATCTTTTCTAAAGGTGGTGAAGGAGAATTGGGTAGCTGATTCCATGGGGAACCCATTTATTTTATTCCAAAGTAAGCTGAAAAAGGTGAAGACTGCATTGGCAGCTTGGAGAGATATTTGGAGATATTTTCAAATAAATTACAGCATTGGAGGATGTTATTAAGGTACATAAGATTGAGTTTGAATTGAATCCAACAACTCAAAATAGAGCTAAGTTACACAAAGTAGAAGCTGACCTTACAAGGTATTACCATCTTGAAGAAGAATTTTGGAGACAAAAGGCTGGAATACAGTGGTTTAAGGATGGTGATAGGAACACTATGTTATTTCATGCTCATGTGAGAGGTAAGAGGAAAAGGCTGCAGGTATCCGGAATCTTGGACAAAAATGATAATTTGCTTGAATCACAAGAAGATATGGCAAGGGAGGCACTAGAGTTTTTCCAGGCTCAGTTCACAGAAGAAAGAATTCCTACTAACTTTGATATTATTTAGTATGTTCCTAGGATGGTGTCTCAGGATCAGAATGTAAAGTTGTAGGATGAGCAACCATAGAGGAGGTTAATGCATCAGTTTTTGGATTGAATGGGGATAGTGGAAGTGGTCCAGAAGGATTCACTGGCCAGTTTTATCAAGCTAGCTGGGGGTAGTATGTGATGATGTGCTCAATATGGTTAGAGCCTTCTTTTGTGGTGCAGAACTACCAAAGTTCATCACTCACACAAACCTTGTTTTGCTTCCAAAGAAGAAGAATGTTTCTATATTTTCAGACATAAGGCCAATCAGTTTGAACAATTTCTCCAACAAGATCATATCTAGAGTGATCCATGAGAGGTTAGTTGAGCTTCTGCCTTCTTTAAGTTCTCCTAATCAGGCAAGTTTTGTCAAAGGAAGAAGCATTGTGGAGAATATCTTGTTAACTCAAGAGATCATCAAAGACATTAGATTGAGAGGGAATCCATCTAATGTAGTAATCAAATTGGACATGGCAAAAGCTTATGATAGAGTCTCATGGCTATTCTTGACAAAGGTACTGAGGCAGATGGGATTTGGTGAGATTTTCATTGATATGATATTCAGACTAGTCTCCAACAACTGGTACTCGGTGCTTCTTAATGGGCAGGCCAATGGTTTCTTCAAATCATCTAGAAGTGTTAAACGAGGGGATCCACTTACTCTTACATTTTTTATTCTATCAGCTGAAGTACTTGGGAGAGCTTTAGATGCATTGTTTGACAACCAGGATTTCATAGGCTTTGGCATACCAAAGTGGAGTCAAAACATTAACTACCTTTCTTATGCTGATGATACTATTATCTTTTATTCCTCTCACTATGGGGCAATGTAGCTTATCATGAATGTGTTAGAGATATGAGGCAGCTTCATGTCACAAGATCAATAAGGAAAAGTCTTCCTTTTATATGCATGAAGAAGCTCAAGCGGATAAAGTAAACACTGTCCACTTGATTACTGAATTCCAAAGATAGCATTCCCATTTACATACTTGGGTTGTCCTATATTCTACAGCTAGAGGAGGAAAGACTTTTATAAGAATATCATCTTCAAAGTACATGAGAGATTATCATCATGGAAGGGTAAGTTACTATCAATTGGTGGTAGAGCAGTTCTGATCTCACGTGTGTTGGATAGTATGCCAATTCATCTCTTATCATCTGTGAATCCACCAATATATGTGATCAATAAATTGCACAAGATATTTTCTATGTTTTACTGGAGCAATTCAGGAAATGGAAGGGTAAGACATTGGGCTTTATGGAACAACTTATGTCTTCCTAAAAGTGAGGGAGCTATAGGTTTCAGATCCTTACATGATGTGTCTAAGGCTTTGTTTTCCAAGCTTTGGTGGAACTATAGAACAAAAGACTCATTGTGGTCTACATTTATGCGAAATAAGTACTGCAAGAAGATCAATGAGGTGTTAGTACCTTGGAGACAAGTATCTCATGTATGGAGAAAAATGTTGAAAATGAGAGATGAGGTGGAGCATCAAGTGTGGTGGAAATTGAAGAATGGCAACTCTTATTTCTGGTGTGACAATTGGACTGGACTTGGAGCTCTTTACCATACTTCAGGTCCAGATCATTGGTGTGATGACTCTATGAAGTATGTTGATGAAGTGGTTGAAAATAGGGCATGGAATGAAATGCTACTAAGGGAATTACTGCCCGATGAGCTAGCTGACCATATTCTGTAGACAATCTCACCACCTTCAGATTTTTCAATGAAAGATAAGCCTTGGTGGAAGCTGGAAACAAAGGGACATTTTACAGTGAAGTCTGCTTGGCAATATATAAGGAAGAGAAGAGAAGAAAGCAAGCTATACAAATTCTTTTGGGTAAAGGGGGTGCCTTTCAAGATAAGTTTCTTCATGTGGAGACTGTGGAAGGCAAAGTTACCATTGGATGACTGGTTTCTAAGGCTGGCATATTTCAGAACATCAAGGTGTTGGTAATGTAGGAATCCTAAAGAAGAGACACTGCCTCATGTGTTTCTAACATCACCAGCTGCAAGATATGTTTAGAATTATTATGGTGCACCTGCAGGGATTAGAACAGATGGGAAGCAACTTGTACAAGTGATAAATGAATGGCGGAGCAAACTCGTTAATACAAGCTTGAATGGCAGTATATCAAGCTATGCCAAGTTTGATTGTTTGGCATTTGTGGAAGAAGAGAAATTCTGGAAAGCATGGGAAGAGTGTGTCTATAAATAGATTGATCTTTCAAATCTCAACCTCAATCCGAATACTGCTAAAGGTGAGAAGACCAAGCTTTAAGGGTGTTACTGCAAACTGGCCAAAATTGCATGAGAAGCTGTCACTACATATTCCTAAATTGAGGTATACTAAGGTGTTGTGGGAATTACCTCCTGTGGAGTGGAAAAAATACAATACTGATTGGGCATGTAGAGGTGTCAATGGAGAAGCATTATATGGCTTCTGTATAAGGGATGTAATAGGAGATATTATCTACGCACAGACAGATGCAGTTGAGGATGAAACTAATAATGTAGCTAAGGCACAGGCCATTCTGGAGACTCTAAGGTACATAACTCAAATGAAATTTCCTCCATGCATAATTGTAACTGATTCTTTACTTATGAAGAGAGTGCTAGATGAAGTTTGGGAACCACCTTGGAGCATTGCTAATCAAATGGATGAAATCAAAACACTACTGTCTAAGGGTGCTTTCCAGATATTTCATGTGTTGAGGGAAGGTAACAAGTTAGCTAATCATTTAGCTAATTTATCATTGGATCAGTAACACATTGTACATGTGCATTCCTTTTGGGAACTGGACACACAAGTGAGAAGGATATTGAATAATGACAAGCTTCAAATACCCTACATAAGGGTAAGAACGGCCAAGCCAAATGCTAATTGATGATGGAGTTAGACGATAAGATGAAGAGTAGGAGTAGAATGTATCATGAAAGAATGAGACAAACTATAGGGGATGGAGATCACATTACACTTCCAACTCAAATCCTTAGGGAGGAGAGAAGGAAGGATTTTTTCTCTAACACGTTTTCTGATTTTGCAGGCACTTTGGAGGGGGCTTGGCTCTATGTTTTGGCCAAACCTATTAGGGTGGTATTAGTATCTTTGATACTCATTCCCTATAGGTACAATCACTACTTAGGCCAGTCCAAAAGCACAATCAATAAGGCAAAAAGAAGGTTGCACATTAGCCATTTGGATCCATACCCACGATGATGAAAACGGGAAAGATTATACTATAAAATGCAAACTCCTTTGCATCTATCACTCCCTGAGGATCACATAAGGTAATACCAGCAGAGCACATCAAGTCACAATTATCAGTTACATGCACAACTACTTTCTATTGCCCAGATCAGATATGACTACCCATGGGACTTCTCAGCTTTATGCAGATCATTTTAGTAATATTTGGAGGAGCTACCAGCTACAATGGACATCTACCACACATGAGGAAGCTACCAACAACAGGATCACAACAAGAAGGAGCAGGCATGAACGCGTAACAAGGAGCCAAAGTCGCAACAACACCATTACTGTCTTGACCTGGACTTGCATTTTGGAAGGTTTTGCGTGCAATCGGCTTACAAAGCAATCCTTGTCAAGCTTATATTTCTTTCAAATAGATCAGGTGGAGCTGCTTAATCCTCAAGATAACAAGTACAAATGCCCACAATCGAAAGCAATGAGAGACATCTATTCAAGAATTTTTTGTGAGTCATGTGCAAATAGGCCTTTTCAAGAATCATGGGTCTTAGTTCTTTTTGTATTATCAAAGGAGTGTTTTACACATGACTTTTATATTAGGTTTCGTGTACTTTCATTTTCTACGTATTTTCATTTTATGAGACCTCCGGACTCATTGTTATTTTATTTTGATTATTAATAAAAATACCACTAGACAACTAGCCTAGTGATATATTTGCTTAACAAAAAAAAACGCTGATGATCAACCTATATCAAAGAAAAATAATCCCTTCTTAACCACTATCCTTCAGTTCGCTTTACCTGTCTTCCGACCTTTCTTTCTCCATTTTCCCATTTTTAGTTTTTTTCCCAAGAAAAGAGCAAGTAAAACCTAAATTTCGAAATAAAAGAAGAAAGAAAAATCTTATCCAAGACAAAAAAGAACTACCAAAGACAGTTAGCGTCTGTTCCGATGACAAAGACACCTGTTTAGACAGGTGTTAGAAGGAGAGTAAGAACTGGTAATGAAGTGACACGTATCTCTTCTCATTAGCGCTCATGGCCAAATCTATTTAAGTTACTTCACATGAACATGGTACAGAAACGAATCACATAAACATTTGGGTGTTTTGGTTAAATTTCTCGACAGATTAAAACAGAGTTTCAAGAAAGAGAGTGAAAATGCAGGCCATGAAAGAAACAGCATCAAATATTGCCGCTTCGGCAAAGTCTGGCATGGAGAAGACCAAAGCTGTTGCTCAAGAAAAGGTTTTCCATTACTTATATATATGATATCTTCCCATTTATTGTATAGACGAACAATAATCATTTCTTAATAGACTTTGCTCTACCGGTTTGATTTACACTTCCTATATATCTCAATAATACCCTTTTGAAAATATAAAGAGTCTTGAAATACTATAAATAAGGCGTCACCGCTTTGTGAATAATATTAATATGCTTCAAGCAGATTTGGTGTCATTTTTAAAGTTTTTTACAATAAAATTCAAAGAATAAAAAAATTCTATAATTCGCAAATAGAATGAACCTATCACTATTTAAAAAACTGAAATTACTACGAATTTTGTCGCTAATTTGTAGCTGAATCATCTAACAGAAAAGATGATTAGAATTAGCAACGAATTTTGCTATTTAGCTACAGAATTTGTCCTGACGCTACTTTTTATTTTTTTTTGGTAGTGTATTAACTTTTCAGGAGTCAAAACAAAAAAAAAATTGATCATATTTTTAGCAAATGTATTTTTTAAAGATTTTAAATTATTTACTATTGTGACCTAGCTTATACTTTTTAAATATATAAATTTTATTATAACAAAAATTATAGAATTTATACTCAAATTCACATCGAAAATTAGCCAATTTGGTATTCGGATTTCGAACAAACAAATTTGAACGAAGTCTGACTATCTGACCCTCGTACTCCGAACAAACTAATTAAAACAAACACTAAGACAGACAAATTAAAACAGACGGAGTTTATTTAATATTGAAAATATATACGCTTAGAAAATGTATGGTTTAAGGAAAAGTTATTGCTTATATACTGGTTGTGACATAAACTTCTGAAATTGAGAAGTGGCAAATCTAAGGAAGTAACTTAATACTACCATTAGACCTCTATTTTCCTTCTTTTTTTCCCTAAGCACAAGTGTGCTTTAACATTCTATCTATTGTTTTGTTATTCAGAATAATTCAGAGAAAGTTTTATTATCAAGATAAAGTACCTAACCAAGAATTAACAATGTTCTTTTTTCTTTTTGCTAATATTTGCGTGACGGAAACAGATGGAGAGGATGACAGCAGACAACCCAACAGAAAAGGAGATGGCAACAGAAAAGAAAGAAGAAAGAATCAACGAAGCCGAAATGAACAAGCAAGAGACTCGAGACAAGAATGCAGCTGCAGCTAGACAAGGCACTGAAAAGACGCATTCCTACTCGACCACTGGCGCAACTGGGCAACCAACTGGTGCGCATCAGATGTCAGCATTGCCGGGCCACGGCAGTGGGCTGGGCAGGTGGTAGAAGGTGTGGTGCAGTCTCACCCCATTGGAACTGCAACTGGAACTCAGAGATCTTCCGCTGCACATAATACACATGTTGGTGGTACTGTTAACAGTGGCTATGGCACTGGCGGTTCATATAGTTAGAATTCCTTATTTCGCCACTGTATCAGTGTAGCTTAGCTCGGTTTAGAATTATGCATATTCTTTTTCCTTTAATTTCAATAAGGCGAATGATGGTATTTACTAATTGTGCTTAGATAACTTTTTTATCATTTCGTAAAAATATGTATGTTCTAGGGAGAACCGCGAATTTTTATTAATTTGCGTGTTGTAGTTGCTATATTTAGATTATACGTATGGCTTTTCCGATTCTTTTTACCCTGTTTGCACTTGGCCACGTCACAAATTGGTTACTTTTTGATCAGCGGCTTTTTGGGGGTGAGAAATTATTTCTACTACAAAAAGAGAGAAACACCTAGCCTCCTGAATATTTTATGTTCAGGGATCTATCTAGTATTATCATATTTCATATTTTTTCTTGATTCCGATTGATTGTTTTTTTTGTTGACTACATGATTTAAATCTTATGTTCACGGATCTATCTAGATCTTGATTCACTATTTTCATATTTCATATTTTCATATTTTATATTTTTTTTTATTCTGATTGATTGCTTTTTTTTGACGACATATTTTAAATCTTAATGCAGGCAAGGAAACATCATTTTTCAATTATTACTTATTGGGTCGGAGCCGAGGAAAGAGGGAAGCCCGTCATAGCAGTCGACTAGAAGTAGAAGACTGTTGGCCTGAGAGAAGGCGGCCTCTCTGGGAAAGATGGCATTATGTATCGTGAACGACACACTTTATTTATTTATGATGATATTTATTGGCTTTTATAATGAATGAATGTTAAGCATTTGACGTTTAAATATTTTTTTGATTGCTATAATAAAAATTATCTAAAAAAAAAAATTAATATT